CAGGAAATTCGGTACGGGTGCTTCGACTTTTATGTACATATTTTTCAAATAAATGCTTTTTAAAGAATGGAGCTGGTTGGCTTGCCTCAAAGAAGGAATTGCTCATTTCAGCTCCATAATAAATATGCTTGTCTATGACCTAATCACCTAAAATGTGGCCGATCGCATAAGACTTTGGCAGCTCAGCAGAGTTGAGCTTGGATAGTCCTTATTGGGTGACCACCGTGTACAACACAGGTGTTGTAGGCTACTGTGACACAATATTGTCAGCAGAGTGCAGTTCAGCTCATGCAATTGTGCTCTACAATGCTCCAATATACCTCCCTGCATTCACTAACCTGTGCTAACGAGTGTGGTGAAGTATGGTCAAATAACCCCCACGACCTGCATGGCTTGAGGAGACTCTAAATCAGCAGTGGATGGATTTAACCGAAAATATTACTGCAGATGTGAAGGTACAATGTACCATAAGCAGCAATCTGCAATCGTGTGTGTTTGACTTTGCCTGGAAAGGAGAGAAGGAAAAGTGGGTAAATTCTGTATCGTGGTAAAAAAAATAGGAGCTATCACACGAGGCATGTAACAATTTAATAATTGATTTATGTTTAATTTGCTCTAATGTACTGTGCCTATATATGCTAAATGTGATTGTTTTGGTAGTTGCTATTATTTCCACTTTGTTTAAGAAAAAGAAAATCAACAAGCTGGGGGAAATGGGTGTCCGTGAATTGCACAAGTCACTTGTTAATAATATTCTGCAAAACACTCGAAGAAAACAGAACACTGAACGAATAGTGTTTGTTGTAAAAACATACGAAGTTGTTTGACAGCGTAAACTTGTTGATACTCAAAAAGTTTTTCGGGCGAGAGTTGTTGAAAACTAATTTGGAGATTTCTATTAAATAGGAAGTCGTGTTGAGAAAACATATCCTGTTGCAGGAAAGCAGTATTTGCTAGTCGTACATTTCAAATAATTATTTTCCAGCCTCGTATTAATGACCACTTAAGTCCAGAGAAACTTAGTGGATCAGGCCATGGCAAGCAGGAAGTGGACTGACAAAAGGAACACATAACTTAAAGTGGAATTCCAATAACAACAGTTGAAGCAAATCACATAAATTATTTTGTTGTTGTTGTAGGCTGTAAAACTGTTGACCAACGCTGTATCAACATATCTGTTTAGAACTGTAACATACTGTATATACAGTACATATTTACCCTCTTCATTGCAGTTGAATCGTGTATTGCAAATGTAGAATGTGCATGTAATATCTATCGGGCAGTGTTGGAAACTGGTATTGGAAAGAATCCCTTTTAAGTCGTAACAACCTCAGATATTTAGTGGTATTTCCCAAAAGGCTCCCTTAAAACAAATACCCATCTAACACCCCCACCTATTAAATGGCATGGCTCTGCAAGCGTAGCTAATGAAAATTAATGGTCTGAAAACAGATGGCAAAGGTCAGCTAGGCGTGCTTGCATGTAACATATTTGAGCTGCTCTCTTCATCAGGCGGTTGCTTGCTTATTTTCTGTATTTTAACACATTTTTAGACTTCACTATCAACGTTTACTCCTTTTAGGCTATTTCCTACCGTGTCTGAGAAATATTATGTCTATTCGTCCATCCAAGGACACTTCATGGAACTACAAAATCCTGAGGCCACTCACCACAACTTACCACACAGGTTACCAATAAAATTGTTCAGATCTCGATAGTTTTTAGACGAGAGTGACAAATACGTGATTTTTATTCATGGTAAAACACCTTGTTGCTTTGTACCCACACAGTCATGTGTTTGTGAGAATGCATTAATGTGTGTGTGTGTGTTTTAATATTCTGCAGAAATCCAATAATCGTCGTTGATATGGCGGGGCAATATCGCAGATCCTGTAATCTGCGGCACACCACGACGATTTCAGGAGGAATTTGCTACAGGATTCCATTGGTCCATGAACATTTTTCATATTTAAAGTGGAAGATTAGCATGAGGCTTAGGGATAATTTAATCCGCGATAAAATTTGCGGAGTATGAGGTAAACATTTTCTCAGACCTAAATGGCGCAAATCTGCCGTATGGGTCTATAATATAGGATTATTTGCATATTTTAGACTTGATATCCAAGTCTAAAGAATACAAAATATTTTTCTGCTCAACAAACCACATCAGCACAGCTAGTCTGTGTGGATGAAAAACTATTTTTTTAATGAAATAAAAAAAATCGTACCTCTGCATTTCCCTGCAGTTCCATTCATGCAGCTCCCCATTAGTCTGCCCCCTTCTGTGGATCGCGGTTTGCAGTCCGAGAAACTTTTTCAATCCCCTGCAGTGTGTCGCAGATTACATAAGTGTATATACAATCATATATCTATAATCATAACAGTTACAGCAAGCTTGCATCAAAACTCAGAACTCTCAAATAAATGTTGGATTTTCTGTGCACGTCTGTCCACGTGTGTCCATTTGGAAATGCGTTTTGTGTGTTTCTTTGTGCACATCTTTGTACAGCCAACTTTGCTTCTAAACAGTACTTTGTGTGGTGTAAACTAAAAATGTAAGCATATTGCCTCATAATCTGGATGGAAAACCTATTACAGAATTGTAAAAATGCATTGGTATTTTGTTCTTTAAAATGTTAAACAAAATATTCAGTTGTTGTTTTGAAGTCTTCAAATAGATGGTATTTTCATGTCACCCTATTTTGAGCCTTAAAAGTTTGCCTCCCAATAGCTACATATGTCCTACTAAAGTGAATGCTTTAAAAAACAAAGTGTCAGAATAGAGTAGATGCCATCATCATCAGTGATTGCCTACTGCTGAATGAAGGCCTCACTTTCACCATATCTTACGGTTCCCTGATACCACAGCCCATTCAATTCCTGCATCTGAACTCCTATCATCACGCTTGTTTCCTTTGACTGGCATTCCATCACCAATATCGTCAATTGGCCATCATACACTTTTGCATTGTGTCATGCCATGACTCAATTATTTTTCTCAATCGATATGAGGACTCATTTGCCTTTTCTGTCTGCCGTGTGGTCCTCTTTCTGACGCTCAGTATAATCATAGCATCTATTTCCACGTTTGTACACATCAGCTTGTCTTCCACTGTCGGTGTATATATTTTTGATCCACATGTCATAGTTGGCATTGTGATGTGATAGTAAACATTATTTAGGCATGTGGATATGCTGCAAAATAAAAATACAAATTCTTTAACAATAACATTTTCATTAAAAGCCCACAACTGAAAAACACGGCAAGGAAATGCAGGCCGAGGGAAATCATGGAAGGCAGACGATGAGGTGGAACAAGAGAAGGGTGGAGTGATTTTCTTAACTAAATTTGTACTTTAAAATATATATTAGTTTAGTTCATTTACAAACATTTATTATTTTCTTGGCAGTTCCAAATATAATACCACAAACATGGTTGGAAATTAGCCCCATTATATGGCTTTCATTGACTTTGTGAATACATCTTTCCCATCCTTTGCACTCCAGTCGTATTTTGTATTGTTTGCTGTAACTTTCTGACTTGCCCCTACTTGACATTTGTGAAAAATTGCTTATAGCTCATCTTATTTCTCCAGGATAAAAAAGATTCTGATTCTAATCTCGGTATGGTTTAAATTTAACAAGCACTGGACAAATTCAGTACGTTAATTTTGTTCTCAAAATATTATTTCAGATTCTGCATGGTCTGTTTGTGGAATATAATTTTAAATCTAATCACATTGTATATGAACATATTGAATGTCAGTCTAACAATGTTCAATGTAGTGCTTGCAATATGTTTTATATATAGCCATATATTCATTCAAATACTGTGTTTCATTTTTAAGGGAGAATATTTAATATACATACACAGATGTGAGTTGTTGATATTAGTAGATGACAATCAGATGGGACTGTTCAAATATGAATAATTTTGACTAAGTCTGGCTTCTGCTGCCTTTCCTGTCCAATTTCTGTTTCCAGTTTTGAAGTTAAAATGCATTTAGCTGGGCAAATGGTTTTTGGTTGGCTGGGCGAGGTACTGTATAGAGGTCCCGTGTTTTTCTAAGGTCTCTGCTAGGGCTGTGGCATGTCAGATATTAATGGGCCTCTGGCCGACTCTGGTCTCAGATTACGGGGGAGAGGGAGAGAAATAGAGAGACCGAGGATGATAGAGGCAGTGAGAGAGAAGAATCAAATGAAAGATCCATGAAGGAATGTCTTAATGGAAGGCAGAAGTCCTTGGAGAGTTTGGGGGTGGGGAGGGTTGAAAGACACGTTCATGTATTTATGAATGGGTAGACAAACATTATCGGTAAATGCTGTATTTTTAAAACAAACAGATTGTACAGGTTTGCTTTATGAATTGTAGCCGTTTGAATAATTTGTTTCAAAGCTGTTTCATGAGAATTGTTTGTGTTTTCTGTAATGTAAAATCTTAAGTTAAATTTGTAAAAAATATACAAATTGACACCTTGTTATACATTAACATTCATGTTTGGAGAAACACTTCATAATCGGAGTGAATGTATATTGTATGTAACGTAATTGAGAAATTACAACTCTACAAGTGAATAATATGCTTTTGGAAGCACAGGCATGATTACTTTTGCTCGTACCATTGTTGCTGTGATGAATGCTCTGCAATTGAAAGCCTGCAAAAAAATCTCCCAAAGCTCTGCATACTCTAATGTGTACATCAAAGGCTGTAAGATTTGCACAGTTAGTTTGCTAATGTCTTAGCCGCATATGCAAATCTGAAACTCATATGAACAAATCTCAAATAAGCAAATCCACAAAAACACAAAATAAAAACACAATTAATTTGAAAAAATTTCCCACGCACAATAATACATGTCAACAGGTTTTCACTTGGCTTCCCAAGTTATTATTCAATGATAATAAATATATGGAAAACACTTGTTATTTACGTTATTAGGATTGCTGTTTTGACTTGTTTAAGTTGTTTTTTTTCACCTCCCTCCCTCCCTCTCTTCCAGACCAGAGCCTGTCACCGGATGCCATGAAGCAGCCCTGCTGGTGCCACGTAGCGTACTGGGAACACCGATCTCGAGTCGGGCGCCTGTACCCCGTGGGCGACGCCTCAGTGGCTGTCTTCTACGACCTCCCCCACGGTGACGGGCTTTGCCTAAGCCAACTGACGGCGAGCCACGGCAACCGGGCTGGTGGAATTGGTAAAGCCAGACACTGCTGCGTAAACACCCTGTGCTTCACGCCAACCCTCGCTGTCAACCCGATAAGGCTTTAATGGGAGTGAGAGGATTATTTTGGTGCGGGGGGGGGAAGAGACGTTTTTAGCATTGCTTCTGACTGTAATTGACGAAAATGATCTTGTAGTTTGACGGTCAACTATTTTTGGTCACAAACCAGTATAAATCTACGAATAAATAAGCGCGTAAATATTTACGTGCTTTTAATGTGACATTTTTGCTATCATTTACAGGGGTTCTGCAAAAAAAAGAGAAAACAAAACCTAGTAAACTTAGACATATAATGTAATATTTCTAAGTTTAGTTTACTAGGTTTTGTTTTATCTTTGTTTTTGTACCTGATGATGATTGATTGTGTTGTAATCGTTACGTCGTATGCTGTTATTTAATTATTATTTTCTCTTTCTATGTGACTTTACCGAAAGAACCAAAGAGTAAAATGTTTCTTCTTTTGCCAACGTAAAGCATGCACACAAATGAGACAATGCTGTGGGCATTGCATGAGCTGCTACAGCCATATGTGGTGTTGCTGTTCCTATGAATGCCATTTTTCATGTGATCTATTTCTCCATGGCTGAAATATGAGTGAACAGTTTTTGTCAGTTTTAACTGTTTTAACTGACAAAAATAACACTAGCTCTGATATGTTTTTGCTCTCAAAATGTCTATCCAGGAGCAATAAATGTTTCGTTTTCTCAGATATGCTCTGCATTTGTTTAAGATTATTATCGTCGCTGATTTTCCCACCACAAGAAACAGTTTCTAAGACCCAGAAGTGGATTTTGGGTCTCAGTGCTGTGTCTCAGCAGCGACTCTTGCACTTTTATTTACTTACAGATGGAAGCTCGTGTGTGTTGTCGAGGAAACTGTAAACACTAATCCCTACAAATATCAACATCTCTATCACTTCATTGTGATGTTTTATTTAGTATTTTTTTTGCGAGTGTAAGTTTGTTTGAATTGCACTTCCGATTAACACCGTTGGCTATTGGCTACGTATGGTTCGAAATAATTTATAAATACATACAACCGCAATTGAAAACTGTGTGGTCACTATAACTGCTGTTATTGTTTTTCTTGTTTAAATATATTCATGCAAATTTCCCTTTAATCATTCTGGAAATTTAAACAATTAGTTCGGCCATATCTCTAGCATGCTTCCATTTCGGCATGGAGAAATGTTTACAGAAATTCGTCCTAAAGCACCAGGGGATGCCTTGTTATGTGCCTATATATTTGTCTTGGCACAATGTCCATTTTGTTTAAAATTATAATGCACTTGAGCAATCGAAAAATATGTCCCCATGCAGCCCACAGTCACCACCCGATTAATCGTAATCATATGTAGGTCACATTACCAAAACCGTTAGATTGTTGAAAAATTATTAGCACCTAGGTGGCCGGATGGCTCAACGGTCAGAGCGCTGAGTGGGTACCGACAAGATCCTAGATTCGGATCCAGGCAACCGCCTGCACTTAAACTGGGCTCTCATGTGCAGTGAGTCGATATTCTCAGCCCAATCATCCATGATTGCACAAAAACAAAATCCATGACATTATATCTGGTTCTTCAATTAATTTGACTGTCATACATCAAACATTACTGTCAGTCGGACAGCAGGTCCGCAAGTGCTGTCCACTACTGTGTGTACCAGAGGTCACTTGGATTGATTTCAGAGGTAGCCCTATGATATCCATTTCCAGGGTCCATTCTCAAACGTAAATGGTTGCACTGCTTTGCGAGCGTTACAAATAAAATAAAAAGTTAAAAGCACCATAGACATTTTTGTCAAAAAAATACATTCGCCGCTCCTGTGAGCTGGCCATATTAAAGCAATTAAAAGTGAACTGCTGTTTAACGACACATTTATATATTTACGCAATATAACACAAAAACCTGTATTTATCGATGATATTGGTTGCGTAAGCCTACGCGTTAAACTGCTGTTTGATATTGGTCAAAATAAGTCAATAATGACCTCTGTGGCTTTGCACTCACTTTTTCTTCATCAGCTGGCAGCGGTGGTGGCATCAGCGAGTCGACAAGCCGCACCAGGGCCAAGATTGGCTACGGGTTGCTGCTCAGCTGGGAGGCAGACGGTGTGTGGTGCTACAATCGCAGCCAGCATCCACTCTTCGTCAATTCACCCACGCTGGATGGGCTTGGTGCACGCAATCCCGTTGTGCGCAAGGTAACGTTTCACTGGTGACACGCACCGCAAAACTTTGTCTTCGTATTTCGACGACCATACGTGCACATAGCCTACATCTAAAATTACCAGGAATGTGCCCAGTCCCATCAAATTTCAGAAGCTAAGCAAGGTTGAAACTGGATGGTGCTTAGATGGTGACCACTGCATAAAACAGGCGTTTTATTGTTTTGGGCAGCAGAGGGCAGTGTAGTGAAATCCATTGTTGTGCTGTGATGATATGCTTCCACATCTGTGATCCCCGCCTTCATCAACCTGCACTGACCAGCATGGCAAAACTATGGTCCAATAACCCCTATGACTGACAAGGCGTAGGGAGGCCGTTATTCCATGGGTTGCCAAACGAGCTGTACATGTACACACTGGAGCCATATTATGAAAATATTGGATAGCGGTGTTGATGTGCCATTGTTGTATCTTAACCTTTATATATGATAGATATTTATGTAATTGCTATGAAGAAGGTACACTGCTGACCCTCCATTCTATTTCTAATCAGACTAACACATTTACACTTTCACATGTTTAAGTGTATAGTTTAAAATAAAATAAACCCATTCGTGTGTTTGTATTTGACGGCATGCAGGTTCCTCCCGGCTATTCCCTACGGGCTTTCGACTTCCAGCAATCGATGCTGCTGCAGGAGCATCAGGCACGTCACGAGAATGGACCCTACGATCCCAACAGTATACGTATCAGCTTTGCCAAGGGCTGGGGACCTTGCTACTCCCGTCAATTCATCACGTCCTGCCCCTGTTGGCTTGAAATATTGCTGAGCGTGCGCTGAAGCATGGTGGTGCAGACTACGGAAATTGTGGATTGAGGTTGGATCGCAGTGTCTTGAGGTCCAGTTGTCTGGAGAAGAATATTTTTTGGCCGACCGTCAGGCTGAAGTTGGCCTGGTTCTACGCGGAGTCTCGACAGAAGGGCTGTTTTTTTTACTGTGATTGAATTAGCACACCACACTGAAACCCTTCGTGCAAAGGTGTTCTGCTGTTGCTGTTCAACATAGACCTGTGCGCGATCAGAGAAACGCAATGTTTTAAAAATGAATGGGTTTAAAAAAACGAATGCAGTAGTTTTGAAGATGTTGCTTCCATCACTTATTAAAGGTGCCAGGTGTTCACTAGCAATCACTAAATAAACCACTCCTGCCAGTGTGTATGTAATATTAACATTTCATTTTATGAAGAAACCCATTAGAGGCTTAGGCTAGAGCCTAGAAGGATAATAAAGTTACTGTAAAATAGCAGTATCAGAGGTGTACTCCAAGAAGAACGTATCTTCCTGTATAAAAAACAAGTCTACTCAGCACATACAAAGTACAGCTTAAGTGACTATTTCAAAGGCTTGTTTAGTACGTTATTTTTTTTTACTTGTTATTGTGATGAAGGAATTTAGAAACCTGGGGAGCCAGTTTGTGAAATGAACTATTCTTAGATAAGTGTGTGTTGTAAAATGCAGTGTTAGGGCATATACCACACAAAACTAATATGTATAGTGTGTATTCTGGCACAGTTTTATAAAGGCAGCATACGCATTACAATACAGAAATTGTGGAGAGTTTGAGATAAGTGCTCGATTATGATTTGCAAACCTCATGTTGACGTAATGGCTGTTTGCGTCTGTGTATTATTACATTTGTATGCAAGTGGAAAGGGAGAAGCCAGCACCGAAAACGTAAGAACATCCATGCTGGATGCTTTCATTCAATGAGACTCGTTCCTGGAAAATGAATTGAAAGTGCGGGAGTAGCAAGAAGAATTAGTGTTGTGGGGACATGATGCATTATGACAATCTCATTTGTACTGCTTCTCCACACAAAGGATTGGACTTTGCTTTATTTCATAAAGAATGGTTTTGTAATTTTAAGGTTATGTACACACACATGCACTTGTATGTGTATATAGAAGTAAATAACCACAAGGACATGAACTCTTTAACCATTAAACATTTCTTTGTCCCATAAGAGAATCGACTGTTGCGAAGGCACATCAACACAGATTTAATATAAATATTTTATATAATAAAGTATATATAAATGTTACATATGGAAATATAATATGACGATGCGTGTAAATACGGACTCATTTGTACGGTTTATTATTTATGTATAGCCACAGATCTTGTATGGACAGTGACGAGATGCACTTTGTTCACACAGTATGTAAATCGGCTTTAGAGAGCAAGATGAAAGCTTTTACTGCAGACAAGATTTTTTAAGAGGCTATTTTTGCAGGGTGAACAAGCCAGTAACACCCTGGTGTGTGTTAACCCATTCTTTGCGATACAAATCATCGATGTTTATTTGGATAAATAAATTATGCTAAACAGCATTATTCTTCTTACATGCTTGAAATTGTGTGTTTAATTTTCCATCATCATTGCCATGCCATTTGCGATGTTGAAATGTGGTCTGAAATCCTCACTTTGGAAGGATAAAGTTGAAGATCATCTGTACATGTCATACTCTTGGCAGAGTGGAATGTGATCAAAGCTAACGTGATGAGATGCCATGTGACAGTTTGGCTGATGAGCTTGGCACCTGGGCTTCCTGTATTTGAAACAAACTAAAGTTACTATAAATTTATTTTTGATTTCCAAACAGGTTGTTTGCGAATTTTGCGTTTATAAAGGGTGTCACGTGGGCCTGTGTTCCGATATTAGGAAGCCACTGGAGCTTTGCACTTTGAAATCTTGATTGAAAACTAATTTCTTGAACACCATTGGAACCTCTTTTGCCAGTAGCAAAATATGATAATTGTTTCTTTTCCCTTTTATCTGGCAACAAAACTGACACCTTTTTTGCAAGGAGTCATGTTTGCATTGACCACAATACCTGCGGTCGGAATGCAAACAAAAAACATAACTCTGATTATGTATGCACTGTCCTTGAAATTGATTGGTCCACACCCGAGACAGCTTTCCTTAGAGCCATCTGGTCCAACACCATGTGAGACTAGGCTCTAAGGAAAGGTGTCTTGGGTGGACCAATCAATTTCAAGGACAGTGCATACATTATCAGTTATGTTTTTTGTTTGCATTCCGACCGCAGGTATTGTGGTCAATGCAAACATGACTCCTTGTTAAAAAGGTGTCAGTTTTGTTGCCAGATAAAAGGGTAAAAAAACAATGATCAATTTCTTGAACAGTTTTTTTGCGTTTAGCTTCTTGTCCTTCCCCCGCAACTCCAATGAGCACAGTTGGCTCCGTACGGTCCGAAACAAGTTAAACATACATATTCTATTACGGTGGTACTTCTCTATTTAAAGCTTTCGTGACTGCAGGGATTCATCTTCTTGGTTCTTTCGGTAAAGTCACGTAGAAGGGAAGTAATAAAATAATAAAAATAAAACATAAAATAATTCTCACGACGTTTCGGCCACAATGCAAATAGCCGTCCGACTTTACCGAAAGAACCAAGAAGATACGGTGGTACTCTTTAGCATTGCTTCCACGAGATGCAAATTGCTCGAGTATTACATTTGGCATACAAGCTGTTTGCATCAATTTGCTTGTCAAAGTTGATAATATACTGGGAAAGTTTTTTTTGTTTGAGGTCACCTTTGCACCCAGCAATAAGAGTACAACGTGTAAAGTGGATCATTTTCGGTGAGTTCAAATGTCGGAATTTCATTCCTTGATGACTGACTCGAAGAATAGGTCAAACTCCACGAGAGTGGGAAGCAAACTTTCTGCATTGGCACGAACTGCATGAAGTAAGTGTGTAACAATGAATCGACCATCGATTAAAATCAATTCCTACTCTCGCAATACATGCATTAATCGGTGTATTTAAAACTGTTTTGTGATTGGCTCGCATACACTGCATCCGTGAGCGAGAGGTTCTACATGCAACGCAGTGGCAACACAAACTTGATTCTGGGATTGTGATGCAGAAAAGAAGCAATTCATTGAATCATTAAGGGGGGGGACTTGCACGCTTGCCGATAGCGCAGGAAGCTGTATAATTCATAGTTGCACGTGTTTACACGGCAATGCATTTGGTTTTTTATATTGCTTACAGAAACTGCACACAGTCTGGGCACGCCAATCGCACACTCTTCGTTCTTGTTGCGGAAAAGCTAAAAAATATATGTTCATGCTTTGGCGGGCGACCATCATAAAACTTGACTTGAGCATACCAGCCTAAGCCCACATACACGTGCGCTCTGGCACAGCATTTTTGGAGAGGGGTGTGTGTATCACTGCGCGAGTCGCGTATATTAATGCGTTAGGGGGGGGGCATGGGCGTTTGAAAGGCGTGGAAATTGATGGGATTATCACAAGTCACGGCGGAGCAGGCATGGCACGGATAAATTTAGTAGCGCGGGACGTTTTGGTGAGAACGTGGCTTCATTCTTAGGCTTCTATACCAAAGACCTTATTGGGGTCAAAAGAGTCACATTTGATCGTAGCGGGGGGGGGGGGAAGTGGCAGGCCACGGTATGATTTTGTCAAGCACTGCTCGAGGTTAAAGTACAATAATCTACAACCCCGTACATGTTTTAGGCTGAAGGCAGGGACAGCGAGGGTTACGATCATGGCTTTTAGAGCCTGCGGCCTTGTGTCAACCACCACTGCACAGTCCCAAAGGACAAAGCTCTGCTTTATTGCTCCAAAGTCTAAAAATGCTTTGAAAAAAACCGCTTAGCACTGGTAATCAGCAAAGGGCAGTATTGAAAGTACTACGGACAGCTGTATATAACATGTCAAACTGTATTTGTATTCATTTGAGGAGTTACACAGGCGATAGAGTAAGTTTACCATATCGGAGTATCGTTGAAATACAAGTATTACGTAAACTAGCAAACATGCTTATGTCGTGTTCATCAAAAATTATCGGTTATGCGTCATTAAAGTAATATTTTATTGATAATAGGTTTTTCCCCCTTTTTATGGCAACAAAACAGGTGTTAAGATGTTAAAACACCAAACTGAAACCTTTTATAGGAATCATGTGTGCATTAACCACAATGCTTGTGGTCAGAATGCAAACAAAAAAATACTCTGATAATATATGCACTGTCCTTGAAACTGATTGGTCCACACCAGAGACATCTTTTTTTTTAGCCTTGTCTCAAACGATGTTAGACCAGAGGACGCCACAAGGCGTACAGCCCAAAGACAATGCACTATCAGAGTAATGAGAGCTCGGGTTGAGCATCTACATCATGGGACATCCTTTGCCAGTACCAAAATATGATAATAGGTTTTTTCCCCTTTTGTCTGGCAACAAAAACAGGTGTTAAGATGTTAAAACACCAAATTGAAACCTTTTACAAGGAATCGTGTCTGCATTAACCACAATGCTTGTGGTCAGCATGCATTACAAAATCTCACTCTGATAATATATGCATTGTCTTTGAAACTGATTGGTCCACACCAGAGACAGCTTTCTTTTGAGCCTCATCTCAAACGGTGTTAGACCAGAGGACGCCACAAGCATTGTGGTTAATGCAGACATGATTCCTTGTAAAAGGTTTCAGTTTGGTGTTTTAACATCTTAACACATGTGTTTATTGCCATAAAAAGGGGGAAAACCTATTCTCATATTTTGGTACTGGCAAAGGAGGTCCCATGATGTCATATTTTATTGTGATTATTTTGGCGATATGCGATTGCAGTAAAGCTATAATTTTCCCCAAATGTTATCCCAATTGTGTTAGCATTACATCATCAGATTCGTAAAAAGCCATGAGGAACTCACGATGTTGCAAAACCCTGTGTTACTGTCAGGGGAAGCAGGTATCACAGAACTACTACCAAGTGATCTCGTATCTACACTAGGGGGCATCACTTTTCCATCAGCCCTGCTGCAGATATTTGTCATGAAAGTCAAACTGATATTTTATCCAACAAGTGCCTAACCGAATTTAAGGTGATATTATTCTTGTGTAGTCAATGGTGACTAGTCTGAGACCATCAACTAATGCTATTCACAAGCCCCAAGATAAATGGAATGAGTGCTGTTTGTAAAACTAGTGTGTATTTTTTTACTTTTCACTCAACAGATATGATTATTTACAATTGCTCTGCACTCTTGCAGTTGGATTGGCGTTCCAAGAAATTACAGACCTTACTTTTTGGTTCTTTCGGTAAAGTCACATAGAAAGAAAATAAATTAAATAATAGAATACGCCATTTCGATTGTAACACAAGCAACCGTCATCAGGTTGAACTACATTTGAGAGAGAGAGACAAAACACGGAGACACACAAGCAGAGAGAGACACAACAGACACACCGATACCCAATGCCTCTGTGTCGAGGCATGAAATAGAGAGAGAGGTGGGTCTGCTGGAGCAGCTGCTGGGAGCAGAGAAATTCGCATGTCACTGAAAGACTCAACAAGACTGGTACATTTTAGAGAGATGTGTGTGGAAATCCACCCCGAAGCGACCGAGGAGAGAGAGCGAATGGACCTATGAGAGCCTGGTAATTTTTTTAGAGAGAAATAGGCAGTTTAAGAAAACAAAAATTTTGCTAATTTTTTGGAAATTGATTTCAATGCAACACAGAGAGTCGGCTAACACACAGTTAACGCATAGCCTGGTTGATTACGATCTCCAAAGATTGCTAAATTTGAAGTTAAGTGTGAAATTTAACAAATAGAGACAGAGAGAGAGAGAAAACAAACTTACATCCTCCCCGTAGAAGTGGTTCAAACTTGATTTGAAGCGTTCGTGACTGCAGGAATTACTCTTTGGTTCTTTCGGTAAAGTCACGTAGAAAGAAAATAAATTAAATCATAGGTAGAACTACATTTGAGAGAGAGACAAAACACAAACACGGAGACACACAGACACAGACTCTCATAGGTCCATTCGCTCTTTCTCTCCCCTGGCCGCTTCGGGGTGTAGTTCCACACATATCTCTGTGTGTCTCTGTCAAATTTCACACTTAACTTCTAAGTTTAGCTATCTTTGGAGATCGTAATCAACCAGGCAATGCGTTAGATGTGTGTTAGCCGACTCTCTGTGTTGCATTGCATTACATTTTAAAAACATTGCTACATTTTTCTTTCTCAAACTGCCTATTTCTTTCTAAAAAATATTACCAGGCTCTCATTGGTCCATTCGCTCTATGTTGTGTCTCTGTGTGTCTCTGTGTTGTCTTCTCTCTGCTTGTGTGTCTGTCTGTGTGTCTCCGTGTTTGTGTTTTTGACGGTTGCTTGTGTTGCAATCGAAACGTCGTATTCTATTATTTAGTTTATTTTCTTTCTACGTGACTTTACCGAAAGAACCAAAGAGTAAATCCTGCAGTCACGAAAGCTTCAAATCAAGTTAGAGAGACCTTTGTTGCGAAGGATGTGGTTATATATAATGATTTCGTGATATATTTTACGA